AAGGAGTTTCCAGCAGTCAAGGACTGAGAGATTTTATACTTAAAGAAAAACTTGAGTCTTCTGGTCAAAAAGCCTAAAGTATAAAGTACAAAAAGCAAAAACATATATATATGCATATATATATAGTATAATCCTGAATGTGTAACACATAAATAGAGCTTAGAAGGAAATACACCAATGTGTCAGTCAGAGCAAGATTCTTATTTTCTTCCTTAAACTTTAATGTACTTTCTAAGTGCTCTACAATGAAAAGACATCACTTTTATGGTGTCTGTAAAGGAGGAAAATTCATTATTTCAAATACACATATACACATAAATTTTTTTTAATCTTCCCTCAAAGACTTATATTCTAGGAGAAATTGTCTCTGCATAGAAATAATATGTGAAGCCAGGTCTAGTGGTGCAGGTCTGTAACCCCAGCTAATCAGGAGGCTGAGGCAGGAGGATCACAAGTGAGACTACCTCAAAATAAAATGTTTAAAAATTTTAAAGGGCTAGAATGATAGTTCAGTTTGGTGAACTGTTTGCCTTGTAAGCATGAGGACATGAGATCAATCCCCAGAATCCACAGTTTTTACAAAATCTAGGGCTGATGAGATGGCTCAGCTATTTAAAAAAAAAAAAAAAAAAAAGCCTGACAGTCTAAACACAATCCCTAAAACCTATGTAGAAAAACTGGATTTGGTGGCATACAACTGTATTCTCAATACTCCTACAGTCAGATGGGAGGCAGAGACAGGAGAATGACCTGGAAGTTCAGGGGCCAGTTATCTTAGCATGTACAGTGCATGTGTAGAAACAGCAAGAGAGACCTTGCCTCAACAAGGTGGGAAGGGAGAACCAAATGCCTGAAAGCTGTCCTCTGACCTCCACACAAGTACTGTGCCTGCACTCACACACTCACACATCATACTCACACATAACAATAATAATCATTTTAAAATATTTTTATTTATTATTTTTGTCTTATGTGTATGAGTATATTGTCTGCATGTATGTAAATGTGCCCATGTCAGGCAATGCCCATGGAGGTCAGAAGAGAGTGTCAGATCTCCTGGAACTGGAGTTAAGGACAGTTGATAGGCACCATGTGGGTACTGAGAACCAAACTCGGGTCCTCTGCAAGAGCAGCCAGTGCTCTTAACCACTGACCCATCTCTCCAACCCCAATAATAATATTTTTAAAGCAGGCATGGCAACACACACTTTTAACAAGCACTGGAGGTGGAAAGAGTTGGAACCCTGGGCCAACTCACTAGCCAGCTAGCCTAGCCTACTTGGCAAGGCCAAGTCTTCCAGGCCAGTGGAAGACCCCATCTCAAGAACAAAACAAAAGGAGGTTAATGATACCTGTGGAACAACATTCAACTGTGTCCTCTGGCCTACACACACACATACACACACACACACACACACACACACACACACATCAAAGCAAAGCCCACGCAGTGGCTGCTTTAGACAAATGTAGCTAAGATACAAGCCCAGCCTTTTCCACCACAGGGCCAGGGAGGAAAGTGTTCACAGACAATGAGCAGAAGAGCCAAGTTCTAGTCAACTTGCTGGATCTCCTAGGGCCCGTGGCTACAGCCAGAGTGCATTTCACTTGGACAAGCCAAGATGAGATGAGAGCTTTATCTACATCAGGTTTAATGCTCAGTGCCAGTTTAATGGCATTGCAAGACCACCCACTGAAACCAGTGAAAATTAACAGCTCCATTGTAAATTAAATTAACATCAAACACCTGCCACTTGACACCACTACAGTTGTTATAAGGCTTTGTTCTTTTCTTCAAGGGTCAAGTAGGCTGAGAGGAAGGTAAAGATGTGATGCATGCTTGAGTGTGTGTGTATGTGTGTGTGTGTGTGTGTGTGTGTGAGAGAGAGAGAGTTTTTCTTTTAGCTGATAATCAAATTAACCACTATCACATTGTCAGTTCAAAAGTGAAAACAACACAGGTGTAATCTAGATGACACTGCCCAAGTCGCATCTTCTCAGTTTGGGGAGGTTGAGACTTTGTGATCAAAACACTATCAGTACTCCCAAGGAAGGCAGAGTGTTAGACAACAGTTCATGACTACTTCTCTGAACCCAAATAAACTCCACTGAATAGTCAGCTATAACCAAAACAGGGGTAAGGATACACACCAATGAGATGTGATCCTAATGGAAGGAAAGAATGTTTGCCTCTCAAACAATTTCTTTCCTTTCCAAACACATCCAGGTTTCTCCAAATACTACCCTCTAAACCCACTGCTCCCCAAATCACCTGCCCCTCCAACACGAGACCCAGCATGTCCCCAGTGGTCCCCACTCATTTCTGTGACCTCCTGCCACTTTGACTCATCTCATTACACTTCCACTATAATCACAGAGGGATGGAAATCTCTCCAAGATCAACTGTGAAAACTCCCCAAACAATTCAATGAAGCTAGCCCCCTCTGCCAGTTTTTTTTGTGGGGGGGGGTTGTTTGTTTGTTTTGAGACAGGGTCTTCCTGTAGCTCCAGCTGACCTGGAATGCACTATATAAACCAAGCTGGCCTGGATCTCACAGAGATCTGCCTGCCTATACCTCCAGAGTGCTGGGGTTAAAGGCGTGCGCCATGATGCCCAGCCTCCCCTGCCAGTTTTGAGCACCTGATGTGCCTTTCCTCTTTTCTCTTCAGTCTCTCTGTTGTCTTCTCTAGAAATAAACTTTCCCAACTTCCTCTTGCCATTTCCTGATTCCGCTCTCCTCCCTTACTCTGAAACACATGCTTTTGTGCCAAAAGACAATGTCACTACATGAGAAAAAAAGACACTTGAACCCATACTCCTAGCTTCTCAGAACTCCCTTCTAAATGCCCCTTTTGAGGGAGGAGCAGTGACTGGTCTAGCTAACCAGAGCCTGTTGCCATTCTTTGGCACAAGATTCACTGGTGGTCAAGGTCACTGCATATCTAGGAGTGCTTATGCTTGAGTCTACTCCATCCCTGCCTTTGCCCTGTATTGGATGAGTAAATCTGAGGAGAGTCTGTACCACACACTGCCAGCTCAGACTCAGAAGAAACAGTTGGAAAGCCACACAAACCTCCCAGCTTCAAACCATTACTTCCCAATTCACCTAGTACCGGAGTTCTTTGATGGGTTGTGCTGGTGCCTAATGGGTCCAGAAATTTTGCTTTCACCTCAATATGATTATTGATTTTTATGTATTGCTTCTATAATCAAAATTTCAGTAGGGAGGATGGATGGTAATAGTTAGATCTCACACTCTAACTCCCTGCTTTCAACCCCTATCAGGTAGGAACAGCTGTTCTCTTTCTTTATGCATCTTCAGAAGGCTGGTCTTTCTCTATGCACAAGCCCTCTAGGCTGTGATTTACTGCCCCTTCCCATGGCTTGGCACTGCCTATGTAATGAGACTGATGTCTTGACCCTCTTGAGGAAAGGATGATAATAATAAAGGTTGAGTTTGATTTCACAGAATCTCAGCTTGAGACCAGAAAACCAGATATCACAGATTATGTGATCTTAGTCAACTGTCCTATGCCTCCACCGTGCCATCTAATTGTTGCAGGGTGTTCTAGGAATGCTAAGACCCTTTGCAGTTCTGACATGGCCCACACATTGTAGGCAGAGCCCAGCCATTCCCAGCTATCATCATACCAGAAAAAGAGCCTTCCAAAATAGAGGTGGCTTGAGAGATGCTCACCACACATGAAGATTCTGCCAGGCTGCAGACCATTCAAAATGAATGTTTAATAAGATACTGCATTCGTTGTGTGCTTCTACTGAATGTGCTGAGGCCCAGGAGATCTGGAAGAATTAATACAGTCCCTAAAGGAGCTGACTGGAAGCACTGAGCAGAGGCAGAAACAGAACTGATGAACACAACAATGCTTCAAGAATGTCCAAAGGAAAGTGTTGTGACAGATATCCACCTATTCCTCCAGGAGGTATCCTACTACGTAAGGAACACTCTCCAAGCTTTCTTGATGGGGATACTGCACACATGTACCCCCAACCCCTCCTCCCCTTCCTAGACCCCAGGATTTTTTCTAAGGCTCATGTGGAGTTACAGAACACTCACAACTCACAGTCTCTCCAGTTTATCTCATTTTTGTACACACAAAATGTACAAAATTTTGTTTTAGTTCTCCCTTCGAACTTTCTTCTCTTCCTTGACTTTAGCATAATTCCTAACCAGATCCTCAAAATATCCCAAACCTTCAGACCTCTGTCCTCTCTTCTCTAAACCAGTGATCCAAAGAAAGATGTTCCCTATCATGCAAAGCCAAGAAAGTTGGATACATTTTCTTTCATTTTTGAAATTCAGCTTCCATATCAAGGCCCATTCTGGGGAGCCGTGGCTGTCCATCTGAGAATCTTTGGAAGCCCTGTGGTAAAGCTGTCTGTCCCAAATAAGAGCCGCCTAAGGGAACCACCAGGCCATCCTCCCTATCTGAGCCTGGAATTACTTTCCTGCATCCACCCTCCTCCCACCTTGTGGTTCTCAGATGTCCCAACTCCATTCCTCTGATTACAGAGTCTAGGCAAGCACAAACTGTCCTCTTTTGCATTTTTTCTAAAATCTTCCATCCTTAATATTTAAAAAATAATTTTAGTCACTTTACCACAAAGGAAGAAAGGTGGACACTCCAGTAAAATCGATATTACAGGAATACAGCATATTGTCTCAAGTGTTCCCACTTTCCCTGCACTACTTGGAAATCTCCAAACACTCCCTCATGCCCCACACACCTTACTTTTGTATTTCCCAAACTCATCCTAGCACATCGAGGTACCCCTGAGTAGCCCATTTTCAAAACCAAAGCAAGGAGCATTTCCGCTCATTTTCCAGTCAAAGAAACACAGTGCAGTTTTCAGTAAAGTCAAGGCTACTTCCGCTTTTATATCAAGACTGATGCTAGGGGCATCCTAGGCCCTGTGATGGCTGCCATTTGTAGAATTAGTCCCTCCAAGACCCTGGCAGCCCATCTCTTCCCAGCCTTACCTTGTCAGCCATGATCATAGATGCACCCCCATGGATGCCCAAGATGGGGATGAAAGTCTGTGAGGAGATAAAATCCAGCATCTGAGCCACAGCCTCCTGGTCCGTGTCATCTCCAAACACAAGGCCATGGATGCGCGCCCCGGACATGAGGTCACACACGTGCGTGATGAGGCTCTTGGGGTCCGTGCGGTTCATCAACAGCGCCACAACGTTCACGTCCAGGGGCAGCCCGGTTGCCTGCTCTGGACCCCACAGATTTCGAAGTTCGCGCTCCGTCACGTCATGACTGTGACCCAGCAGCACCGCAATGTTCAGCGCGGGGGGACCCTTCTCCGCCGCCTCGCCCTGCGCCGGACCGCGCCAGACCAAAAGGGCTGGCAGTACCAGCAGGGTCCAGTAGCCCAGTCTGCCCATAGTCGCCACTTACGGTCCCTGCAAGATGGAGGAGAGCGAGAAGCGGGGCAGCGGTGAGCAAGGGGCCCAGGTGACAGGGACGACTGACTCAAGACCAGCTATGGAAGCCAGGCGTGAGACCCAGCCCCAGCACTGGCTGCTCTGGTCACTCACTCGATTCCGCATCACTGACGCCATCTACATTCCCTAGACATGGCTCCAACTCCATCTACAACTCCGATCCAAGCTACTTCTCCATTTCTGTCCCCAAGCCCATCTTGGCACCCATTCCTTATCTCTAGTCGTTTCCCCAACCCAGACTGGGTCCAAATCCCACACCGCATTCCCCAGATTAGATGCAGACCACAGCTCCTGAGCGCCCAGTGAGCCATGAACCTCCCACCCTGCTAGCAGATGTCCTAGAGTAAGCCCTTTCTCCAACCCTCCTCGAACAGCTCCCGACCAACTTAAGGACCCCGCCCCCTGCTCTCACCAAGCCAACTACAAACCGGCCCCAGCGTGCGAAGGCGGGGCCGGGACACCGCAGCTGGAGTCTGTTGCGCCCTTACTGGTTTACTGACCCCACCCCCTGCGAGCCCGCCAGGTGCACCACAGACCTGGTTCCACTAGTGGCACCCGCTGCAGACCCTACTCTTCTCCTGCAGGGTACACCCCAGGAGCTTGGAAATGATGATGCTCGCTTATGGGTCCAGTCTCCGCGGTGCCTGGGGGAACTTGGAGCCCGATTCCCCACCTTGAACCGAGAGGCCATGGACCCGCTTTCCCACAAGGGCAAGCCGCCCCAGGACCCGCCCCCTACACACTCGCGTGCACACACGCGCGTGCACACACCGCCTCTCACGCCGTGTGCAATGCAGAATTCTGGAGAGTAGGCGCGTCCCCCACCCCCTCTATCTGGCCAGCGCGTGGGAGCTAGCAACGTGCGTGGGGAAAAAAGTAGGCTCCCAAAAGGCTCTCAGATGGACGTGGAGTATACAGCCCCCTCCCCAGCCTTTCCACAGCAGACCCTGTTGCCAAATCTCAGATGCACGTGGGCAGTGGACTTGCACAAGCTCACAGACACGCGCACTTTTCTGCGCACATCCGCAGACTGCCTTGGAGGTGCCCACTGCCAGCTGGAGTCTTCTTCACACGTCCGCAGGAGGTACGCACACAAGCACCACGCCTGCGTACAGCTGTGCTTGCCTGCAAATACCTCCATAATCGTGCACGCGTGTAGAGCGCACGACCCTCCAGCCGGGTACTGTTGCACTTGGGGGGTTGGGGGTGGGGGAGTTGGGGCAAACTCCGGCCCTAGCATCTGTGAACACTGTGGAGTGCAGGGCCGCAGCGCCCCCTGGTGCTCCTCCAATGCCTCACTACCGGGCTTTCCCTCTCCCACTTTTTCGCTCCCTCTCTCTCCTGATCCCTCTCGGGCTGGCTCTGCTCTCCCTCCGGTAGAGTCTGTCTCCTCCAAGCCCTCCAAGTCGATGTCTCCCGCTGGGACGTACCTGTAGCCCGAGAAGGTGGAGGATGCAGTGGGGCGCGCTGCGCGCACAAGCATCTCGGCCGCCTCAGCAGCCACGGGGTTTAGCAGGTTCCCGCATGCTGCGGCCCCCGCGCGCTCCGCAGGCTGTCCCGCGCTGTCCGCATCGCCCCCACGGGGGGCGGCTATCCCAGCCGGAGGCTCTGCAGCAGGGCTCTACCAGGGAGGAGGAGAAATGGAGAGGCAGGGTCAGCCCACCAGCGCCGGCGGGGTGTGAAGGGGTAGGGCGGAAAGCGGGGAGGCTGCAACCTGCAATGCTCACAGCCCCCTTATGCGCCCTGAGGGCTCGACCAGAAAGAGGGAGCTGAAGCTCAGTGCCCAAGACATCCTCGGTGCGGATCTTCAGTCTCTGTAGCTAATAACTGGAGCTCCGCTGAGGGGCACACTGGAAAATGGGAGCCCCAGGTTGGCCACCCACGAGAAGCTAAGTGGGTACCTCCAACCTCACCCCCTACCACCTCCCCGGCGCCGGCTGCTGGGAGTTGTGCGACCAGGAGCTGCTGAGCTAGGGGGGTAGGGAGAGAAAAAGAAGAGGGAAGGAGGGGGCGCTGGCTGAGTTTGCGACGAGCTGGCAGGAGAAGAGAGGGAGGGAAGGACGCGGGCTCCCGCGGTCCCGAATCCCCAAGGAAGGCGCGATCACTCCCACGTAGCGACCCTCTTGCGGGTCCTGCTGCCCCCACCTATCCAGCCTTCACCCATCAGCTTCCCACCCCGGCCCTTCCAGCCTCGGCGTCCCGCGCCAGCACTCACCGCAGCCTCTCTCCACATAGTTAGCAGTGGCCGCTCCTGGTCATCTCCAGGGCTGATGGCTGCGGCCGCGACTCTCTTCACTCATCTGGCCCCATGCTCTGGCTCAGCACCCCGGGTTCTAGTCAAGGGCCCTAGCTCAGCTTCCTGCCCCACTCCGGAGAGCAGCTGCCTGGTCCTCTGAGCGCGCCTGGACGCCCTCTCCGCAGCCGAGCTCCAGCCTGGCTTGTGCGAGGGCGAATGTGTGCGTGTGTGTGTGTGTGTGTGTGTGTGCGCGCGCGCGCGCGCGTGTGGCCGGGGATCCCCGCGGTCCCCGGTCGAGAGAGGCGAGGGTGGAGGAGGAGAAAGGCAGCTCCCTCGCGGCCCTTCGATGCGGGCCGGCTCGGTGCTGGGCGTTCAGCTCCCCACTAGGCTGGAGGGAGCCAGGAAGAGTGCCGGGCCACTGTGGTTAACCGCACTGGAGAAGCCAGGATCCTGGGGCGCGCTTCTGCCGCGGTCGCCTGCGAGGATGGAGGAAGGCAAGGGCGCCCACTACGTCAACTTGGGACTTGTTCTCAGCCAGAGATACGCAACGCAGCAGCCCCCGCGCAATCGGAGGATGCTTGGAGCTCCAGTCCGCCTGCAGCCGCCCACCCTGGAGGCGGGCCAAAGCAGACCCTGCAGTCCTCAGGCGGCGGCGCAAAGCGCGGCCACCCTCTCTCGGAGCGCAAGGCGGTAGCGAACAAGGCCACGCTAGGTGTCTGGCTGGTGACTGGGGCATCCGAGGTGGCGCTTGTCGCTGTCCGTGGTGCTGAAACCACGCTCACTGCCCGCTCCCAGGCGTCTGGTACCGCTGAAGAATCAATTATTCAGATCTCAGCTACCGCTTCCTCCTCCTCCAGTGCCTCGCGCTGGATTCAGCAATCCCCGCTCCACGCAAGGCGCGCCGACACGCACACACCCGCACAGGGAGTCTGCTCGGATGCTTCTCCCGGTGCCTCGCCACCCCCGTATGGGTACCCACTCCTCTGATGTCAGGGAACCAGAAGCCTCAAAGCAAAGACATCTAACCCCCCTACACACACACACACACACACACACACACACACACACACTTTCTGCCTTCTTGTTTTCTAAATTGTGTCAAACAGAAAAGTAGCCCTGAGATTGCCACTTCTAAGCCACCAGAAAAGATGAGCCAGAGACTCTGGGACTAACTGGATGTGGGAGCTGCCTGGCTCTAATTCTAGCAACTGAGCATAAAGCACACTGTTAGATGACTACATTTGACCTTTGTATAGTCACCTGTTTCCCCAACGCCTACCTCTGCCTTTCTCCCTGCAAGAGAAAGAGATCCTAAATGAGGTTTTTCAGTCTTTGCTCCAACCCTGGCTCCTCCACTGAATGCCTAATGTCACCTGAATATTTGTGCCCTGGACCCATACATTAAAATCCTAACCCCCAGCACATTAGGAGTAGCGGCCTTCACTAGGTGATTAAGTCATAAGAGCAGAATCGGATTAGTGCCCTTATAAAAGAGATCCCAGAGAGCCAGCCAGTCAGCCTCTCCCCAGGCCTGATCACACTGGGAAGTTGCAACCCTCATAAACACTGACTCTGCCTCATCTTGAACTGAGGCTTCCCAGCCTCCAGAACTGTGAGAAATTTCTGCAAGCTGTAAACTGAGTAGTTTTTGTTATAGCAGTTTGACCAAATTGAGACATCTCCATTATGTTTTCCCTTAATGACTGCCAATCTGGAAAAATGGGGGTGCATGGGACAGTAAAATGCCTATTTCTCTGAGTTATTTTGAAGTGAAAAGCAATGGAGCTTGGTCAAAGAATTGTCAAGATCTGGCACACAGTAGGTGCTCATTAAGTATAAGGGCCTTTAAAGCAGCCCAGCCAAGAGGACACACTTTCTAGGCATGTGGATATGGCCACTGAAAAGTAGACAAGAAAAGGGGACAGGCACTGGAGAGCTGGGATTATTGTTGAGCTGATTGCTGTATGTGGAGTTCCTTGGAGTTTTAGCCCAAAGAAAGACAGAGGGCTGACAGATTCTGGAAGGATAATAAGAGGGGTAGTGTTATATGAGGCACAGAATGAGGCAGTGGTCCATTTCTTGAGGTTATGTATGGACCGAACTGGATTAGGCCTCCCTTGTGTAGAAACATCACTCTTCGACTTTGGCACAAATTCAGGACTCTAATTTGGGGAGCGATGGGGAAGTTGGACTGCCTTCATTCAATGAGTTATAAATTTACATCCAGATATAATGGTGCACACCTGTAATCTCAGCTACCCAGGAGTCTGAAGATGAGAACTGCCCAAATCCTGAGCAACATAGTGAGATGCTGTCTTAAATAGATAATAGCTGTCTTAAACAGATAATAAATAGGTAAATAAGCAAATAAATGAACTGTAAATAACAAACAACAGAATGCTTGCTAAAGTCAGGCCAAAAGTTCAAGGCCAGCCTGGGCTACAGAGTGAATTCAAGGCCATTTCAGGCAATCTAGCGAGATGCTGTCTCAAAATGAAGAGTGCTGAGGATGGGGCTCAGTGGCAGAAACTATAATCTTGATTTCTAACACACTATATAGAGTTTTACACCCTTTTGAAATTCATATAAATGAAAGTTGACATTAAATACCTTTTAGTCACTGGCTTTAACTTACACCAGTGGCTGAAAGTTTCACTGTATGCCACAGTCCATGTTTACAGGAGTTGTCTCTCCTCTACCTTATTGAGGCAGAGTCTTTTGTAGTTTGCTGCTGTATATTCCAGGCTGGCTGGACTGCAAGCTTCCAGAAGATTCTCCTGTCTCTGCCTCCCATGTCACAGTAGAAGTGCTGAGATTACAGACATACACCATTGAATCCTGCTTTTTACGTGGGTTCTGTGGATTGAACTTCAGTTGTCAGATTTGTGTGGTTAGTATTTATACTTAAGAAGCCATCTTCTCAGCCCCTCTATTTTCAACTGTTAGCTTTCTGTGTAAATAAACACATTTTGAATATCCAATCTCCAGTGGACATATGAGTTGTATCTGTGGAGCTTTAAAAATCTACATGCTGGGCTGAAAATATGGCTCAGTCTCTTGCAGAGAATCTGAGTTCAGATCCTAGCTCCAGATGGGCTCACAATCGCCTGTAACACCAGCTCCAGAGAATCTAATGTCTTCTTCTGGCCTCCAAGGGCATTGCACTCACAGGCACAAACACACACATATACATATAATTAACTTAAAAACAAAATCATTTTTAAAAAATCCTCATGCTTATACCCACCTGCTTGACTCCATCAGGATCTCAGGAACGGGGCCAAACATAGACTTTTTGAGACAAAGTCTCACTATGTAACCCTAGTTGACCTGGAATTACCTATATAGACCAGGCTGGCTATGAACTCAACAGAGATCCACTTGCTTCTCTCTACCACCTAGGTCATATGAATAAAGGTATGTGTCACAATACTTGCCTTTTTGTTTTGTTTAAGTTTGATTAGGTTTTTTAGACAGGGTCTCATGTATCTCAGATTGGTCTTAAACTAACTGGTATAGCTAAGAATGACCTTGAACTTCTGATCCTCCTAACTCCATCTCCCAAGTGCTGGAATTATAGATCTGCAGCACTAAAGTGGTTTATGTGGTATTGGGGATCAAACTGAGGACTTTGTATATGCTAGGTAAGCACTCTACCAATTGAGCTACATCCTCAGCCATACTTTGTTTTGTTTTGTTTTGTTTTGTTTTGTTTTGAGACAGTATCTCACTATGTAGCTCTGGATGGTCTAGAACTTGCTATGTAGACTATCCTAGCCTTGAAGTTACAAAGATCTGCTTGCTTCTGCCTCTGGCATATTGAGATGAAAGGCATGTGCTACCACACCCTGCCTTAATTTTTATGTTCTATTTTTGTTTTATTTTGTGTGTATGAGTGTATTGCCTGCATGTATGTGAGTGCACCCATGCTGTGCAATGCCTGCAGAGGTCAGAAGAGAGCAACAGATTCCCCTGAAACTGGAGTTACAGATGGTTGTTAGCTACCATGTTGGTGCTGGAAATCGAACCTGGGTCCTCTGCAAGAGTAGTCAGTGCTCTTAACCACTGAGCCATCTCTCTAGCCCCCCTTCATTTAATTTTTATTAACATGTAATCATTATTCATATCAATGGGGTATAGTGTAATGTTTCAACACATGCCATAGCGTGAACTGATCAAATGAGGTAACTAGCATTTCCTCCTCCTCATTTCTTGATATTTGGCACCATTAAGCTCCTGTCTTCACGATCTTAATGAAACATATAGCAGATTGTTTTGAACTATCATTACCCCACTCTGCTGCAGAGAACCAGAACTTAGTCATTCTATCAAAGTATGTTTGAGTACCCATTATCCAATCTCCCTTTACCTGCTCTGATCTCTACCTTTCCAGTCCCTAATTAATGATATCAATGATATCAATGTTTTGGGCCTCCAGATATCTTAACAATTGTGAGCAATCCCACAGAATGTTGGATTTAAGTCCACATGATTCTGATGTCCCTCTTTGTTCCTCTCTTGTCTATCAATGTTGACCTTAGAATTGATTCTTCATTGATGAAAACTATGGGTATGGTGAGCTTGGAGTTATTCATATCAGATTTATAGACAGTTGGATTAAGGACATGTGGCCTCTTTTAAATATAGGAAGACTTTATTCAAATGAATAGTCTATCTCTAAAGAAAGTCACAGGTGGCTGGTACTCCCTGGGGACGGACATCTTGCCAGTGTGGAGAGACATCTTGGGTTAGGCACTAGAAGTTCTCCACATATTTGACAGGATGTGTGGACTCATGGGAATCTGCCCTCATGCTATGTTGCAAAGTTAATTCACTCCCACCTCAAGATGCTGAGTAGGATTTTGATACTGAAGAGTTTCTGAAGGAAGGCTGTCTTCATAGTAGCTCTCCTGATCAAGACTGTCAAAGAAGAGAAGAGAGGAGGAAGAGGAAGGGGAAGGGATCAGAGGAGAGGAAAAGGAAGAGAAGAGAAGGGCAGGGGACAGGAGAGGAGGGAAGGGAGGGGAGAGGAGGAGAAGGAGAAGACAGAAGGGGAGGAGAGAAAAGAAGAATGGCAGGGCAAAAGAGGAGAAGAAAGGAAAAGAAAGCAGAAAGAGAAGGAAAAAGGAAAAGGGGTGAGGAGGAAGGAGGAGGAGGGCAGAGAAAGAGAGGAGAGGATGGGGGAGGGGAGAGGAGGGGAGGGGAGAGGGAAAGGAAACTCAAGTCAACAGTCTCCTGCAGTC